CCTATTTTCTTCTGTAATATCTTCAATTATTATGTTTAATTTCTATAAATAAACCAACTGGTTAGGTGAAACATTGTGATATATGATTTTATTGATGTGTCCTATGCGTACACTTTAATATACAAAACACCTGGAACATTCTTTAAATAATTGTGGTCGTAGAAATAATTGTGTACATAACTCGTTTGAAAGTGTATTTTATGCACTTGCCAAATATATTATCCATACAGATTAATCAGACTATTTTTTACTTAACTTCAGTACATCTCTTACTACTAAAACTATTTTTATCAATGGAAAAAAGGGCCGTGTTCTCGTATGTTTTGACGCATTTTCGGCCTCAGCCCATCGGATCCCCCCTCTAAATATTTATGAATTTTGCTTAGAATTGCTAATCCTACAATTCTCTATTCGTGCTTGCTGACTGGGAAAATAAATACCGAAAATCGTCACTGTCTCCTGGACTATACAATAGATGATGATGATGAGAACTTCACAACAAATACACTTTTATGAATGGCTAGTTGGGGATGTGGGTGGAATAGCCATGTCGAACAATAATCATTAGGCAAGTGAATTCAATAAATAATGGAACGAACTCGACAATGCCTAAAGGCAAGCAAAATTGAATCGGTCATTTGAGAAACGACACATGTCACATTTTTGGCCATTTTGTTTTTATACCAAAAATACAATATTTAAAGGTAAACACATCTATCTACACAGTAACATCACTTGCTTGATATATAGTAGTGTAAGTAGTGTAAGTTAAAGTGTTATAACCGATGTTCTGAGGGAAACAGAGAAGAGATTCTTTAAAGATTTTGACACCTGACAACCAAAATGAACAGGATGCATATTTTCAAGCATTGATGGCTTACCATAACGTCAAAGTTAAGAGGCCAAGAAATTCGGAATGACCTAAACTGAAATCTCACTTATTTAAATACCTTTTAATATCCTATTCTGGATGAATTATAATTCCCAGAAAGCTTTTATCAATATTCACGCAATTACAATAACAAGAGTTCGACGTTTAAACTAAGTTAATCGTCAAAGGCAAACAACCTTACGACAAAAGGGGCAAGTGTATTTCTGGAAATACAACTAGGAAATATAGTTTGTCAGATTGAGGACCATTTCAGGAGCTTTCCTACAAAAATTACTATAGTAGCACAAAAAAATATCTCAATGAAACAACATGAAAATTATGTACGATTTATTTAATAAAAAGTATCCGAGTACCAAATTAAGTACAAGTTCTACTTGAATTTTTTTTAAGAAAGACTTTTCCAATATGCACCATGACTTTTATACCGAAATATTAAATTGACCTGCAGTTGATTATCTTTCATAAAAAAATATACCTCATTAAGACCATCAAATATAAATTGTAACAGCTTTTTTTTTAAATTCGCAAATGGAAAATATTCTAAACAGCCTGTAGGGATAAATACTTTTGGTAAAATTCCAAGTGTTATAGCAACGTATCTAAACTTGCCCAATCCAACAGCTTTTACAGGACACTGTTTAGGAGGTCTTCAGCCACTATGCTGGCAAATTCTGGAGGAGACCTTCTAACGGTCAAAAAACATGGAGGATGGAAATCATCTGCTGTTGCAGAAGGCTACGTAGACAGCACAATAACACAAAAAAACAAAATTTCTAATAAAATTTTGATGGATGACAGTATGCCATCCACTTCCAAACAAAGCTACAATTTTACCGTTGACAACTCTAATGAAGAATTAGTGGAACCACTCGACAGTGAAACTAGAGTTACACAAAATATTTCAACCTCTTGAAAAGGCCAAATCCATACCACTCGAAGCTCAAAATAGGGTTACAGAAGTAATATCACAACATTTTTCAAACTCTGTGCTGGAAAAGGCCAAAACCTTAAGTTTTGGTAATTGCAATAATTGCACATTCAATATTAATATTCATAAGAGTTAAAAACCTATTTTTTTAAATATTTCTTCATTTGTTAGTCATTTTGTTCTGTAAGAATTATAAATTTGTAAAGTTCCAATAAATTTATTTTTGTTGCTGTGTACAATTTTTGGCACATTTTACTTTTTTTCACTAGTGCGTAAAGTAAAGTACTTTTTTTCACTAGTGAAAAAAGTAACTTTTATATTTCTAATATTAGTGGATTATGTGTACGGTAGTCCCTTTTTTGACGAATGTGAATCGCGACAATCACATGAGTACCTATAGATAGACCTATAAATCAAAATATATATTAGTCACTTTAGAGTATTTAAAAAATTTTGTTTTTCAGGCCCCGGCAAATAGCGAAAAACAAGAAAATGATTAATTTTTTTAAGGTTATTTAAAAACGGTAGGTGCTATAAAAAAGTTCTTGTTTTTTTTTTCAAAGTTATAACAATTTTAATTTATAAATTTTTAATATTTTTTACTTTTAATTTTGAAGTGAACTTATTATGGCTTGCCTGACATGGAAAATATGAGGAGTGAACTAAAAAAACGACATCGCGACAGTTTAGTCCCCACTTGAAGTTCCATTAAATAAACAAAAATTAATGAAAACAAAAAATAAAACTAAATAAAAATAAAAGAAATAAAAATTAAAAATAAATGAAGTTAATAAAAAATTAAAGGAATAAAAATAGGTAAATTAATAAAAATAAATCAGAAAAAAACAAAAGTCATGAGAAAAAATATTATTCAAATGTTTAAAATAAACTCAAATATGTCTAAAAAATCAGATATCCAGATTCTTTTTTATTCAGCTGCTAAAAAGAGTGCTTGATTGCCCTCGAAAAATATATAAAAATTAACAAACAAATTTTTCATTACACATTTTGATTTTTTTTTCTTTTATATATGTTTATTTATTTTTATCAGTTATTTATTTCTTTTTATTTTTATTAGTTTAATTTATTTTTGTTAGTTTCATTTATTTTTGTTTATTTTTATTTATTTTTTATATACTTTTACTTATTTTTATTTATTTGTATTTATTTTTATTTACTTATTTTTTAATATATTTATTTTTATTTTTTTTATTTATTTTTTATAATTTTTATTTATTTAATGGAACTTCAAGTGGGGACTAAACTGTCGTAATGTCGTTTTTCTTAGTTCTTTCCTCATATTTTTCATGTCAGGCAAGCCATAATAAGTTCACTTCAAAATGTATTTTACCATATATTGAAAATTTATAAATTAAAATTGTTAGTAAATAATAAAAAGAAACTAAAAAAATCATTGAGTTTTCAGCTCGCTATGATTTTTTCAAGTCATATATATCTTCTCTTAACTTCTGTCCACCCTAATTCTGTTAGATTTAATAATGACAAGAAATGCTAAATATCATTTTTATGTAAAGCTTTACAATTTTTATAAATAACTTTTTTATAGCACGTACCGTTTTTAAATAACCTTAAAAAACACTTTATTTTCTTGTTTTTCTCCACTTGCCGGGACCTGAAAAACAATTTTTTTTACATATCGTTTTAAAATACTCTATAGTCACTTATATCAAAAATTCCTGTATTTCCTCCAAAATTTTGATTTAAAAGTCGTATTTGATTGTACTATATTGTGATTTTTGACTCTGGATTGTTTGGACATTTGAGAACATTAAGGTTGTGTTTCTAATTTACAAAGGTGTTGCCTACAATTGCAACAATGTGCATGACATAAATAAGGCCATTTTCATATGTAAGTCTGTTTTCTATTTTTTTGCCACAAATTTTTCCAACCTTAAAAATGTTTTTGTAGTTTTCCTCTTAAACGCCCCGAAAATTTAAAACGCAGGGAAGTTTGGAATCCGTCGAAAGCAAGTAGACTACCTATGTGGGAACATTTCTTACCATCAGATTACCATGTAGCAAAATAAAACTCTTAAACCTCTTAAAACGTCACAAAATCTCGAAAGAAACCAACACGGCGTGTAAAATTTTAAAGGATTTTGAATAATGCTCATTTTATTGATTACGACTTTCAATATGTGCTATTTAATTTTTATCCATTTTACAATTTCTTGAAGACCCATTAGATTTTTAGAGCTTCAAGAATTATGAAAAAATTACAGTTTTAATTATCGCCTATTGCATGGTGTAATGAGGATACTACACGATACCTATTTCCATTTATTGAGTCCATTGGAAAAAGGTACTTGCAGCTTTGCCAGAGCTGGTGATTTATTTTATAAAAAAAATTATCTGGTGATTATTTTTATCACAACAGCCAAAGTATGGTGATTTTGAGAAAAAATATTCTTAAGAAGTAAGTTGGTATATCAAGTTCCAGTAAACTTGATCTGTCCACCAATAATATCAATTATGTAAGGTAAAATATATATTATACCAGAAGAAAATTGTCTCCATTACCAAAAACAATGCTAGAGGTTGACAAGATAATAAATAAGTTAAAAACAACAACCACTAGATATTATTTATAATATGAATGTTGTTGAATTTTTTTAAACAATATTTAATATTCCTGCGTTTTTAGATATTTACTTTTTTTATTAAAAAATAAAAATGTGTTATTAAATATTTTTGAGGAGTCAGTTTTTGCATTATTTTGTTAACAATATTCACGGCGGTAGATTTTAAATATACAGGTGTATGTTCAAAGTTAAACCCAGTTTCGTATATGCATTGGTGGGCAAATTTTGGATCTAAATCCTCTTTTAACCTTCATTTTCTGATCTAGTGCTCAAATTTGAATCTCCCGTTATAAATAACATTGATTACTGCGAAAATGTTTGGCTTCAGTAGAAAACCAATCAAATTCCTTAAGTACGCTACTTTTTTGTACAAAAAGTACTTTCAGAAACTAATAAAATTATTTCGGGATTACCAACGTCCTTGAGATATTTCTACTGAATAATAATGCCCTTGCGGTGCAATTTTTAATTGTTGATGACTAAATTGGTGTGCTTATCTAAGCACAAGACAGCCTTAATCGTTTCTTAAACCATGTTACAAAACATTGCATGTAATAATAACTGTATTTCTTTTCAGGTAAATCTAAACTATGATCCGATGGCCTCTACTAGTTCTGAAAATTACCATTACAATTTTACCGACGAATTTAAAGTTAAAAATGAGGTGAAAGATGTTGAGGTAAGAATTCCTCATCTCAATGTGGCATTTTTTTTGACGGTGCTTTAATTTTTTTAAATCCATGATTTTAGTAATAACTACGTGTGTTTAAATAATGCAAAATATAAAAAAATGCGATATGTATTTCCTAGAATCATCCAAATATTTATTTTCTTTGGTCGGAAGTACAAATAATAATTAATGGTCATTTTGTAAATAATCTAATCAAAATTAGAAAAAAATTGTATGTAACACAGCGAAATGCTGTTTTGTGTAACTAGTTACATAAATATCTATTGTGGGTTATAAAAGCTCGTTATCTGTTCTCTTATTTCTATTAGGATAAAAACGTTATCGGTTGTCTGTCTACCTTTTTCTTTAAATGCTGCTTGTTCATCTGTCAGTTTATCGTATATCTCGTGCTGTCAAGAACAAACCTTTGGTCCTGCTTTGCATGTGTTTAATAGTAAATGGTACTCTCATCGGCAAGAAAAGAAACGACATAATATCAGAGCTGGGCAGTACTTGAGTAAATTGTACTCGAATACTCAGTAATTGGTACTTGTACTTTAATCCTGACAGGACTCATACTCAAAAAATTTTATATTTTAGAGTACTCAGTACTTTTTATTCCTACAGCCTTACAAGTACTGACGCGCGCATATATATTATAATGATTACAACTTGGAAAGGTTAAAGCATCCCAATATCCTACAGCTTTTAGGGTTATGGCTCCTTTGGCTTTCCACAAAAATTTCAAAAAAATAACTCGAAATAATACTAATCGATAAATGTTGAATTTGAAAAAGAATCTAAATCTTCCGCTTTGCTTCTTTCTTCTTGCTCCCTGTCCTTCTGCTTTTTACTGTAACTCCTAACTTCCTGTTCTCCTGCCTGGTCTCCTCTTGCTGTTTTCCTCTACTTTCTCTTCTTACTCCTCCGTCTGACGAACTTTTCTTCCTGCTAAGTCCTCCTTCCTATTCCATTCACACTTATCTTTAATTTAAATAAAACTTTATTGATCTTTCTTTTTTTTTTTAATTTCATCTCTACGATATAAAATCTTCAACTTTAATATCTATCTTAACTTCGATATATTTTGATTTTTTTTTTAAATTTCCCAACTGACAATTTTAAACCTTGTGTCAATTTTCCCAAAATATATCTGATAATTCCGTTAATTTTTAAAATCCCACTACCATCGCCGTCATAACTCTAGGCCAATTCCGAATAACTTATCGACGCCAACGATACAGAACGGAAAAGGTAAGAATATGTCAAATTACGGAATCATGGCAACACATTTTAAAATATATGACTGTTTTTTGAGTATTCTCTATCTGTATCTCTGCCTCTATCTAATACCTTTATTACTTTACTTTAACATTAAAATGAAAAGTTGGACGTAGACTTAATGATAAGTGCTAACTAATTTATAGAAGAGATACTCGTGTTTTTTGTTTGTCACTTACTAACTTACTATTACTAATTATTATAATTCCTTTTTTCTAAACTTGAATCTTTAACTAGAATTATTTAAAATAGGTAAGGTACTCGATTTTTCACAAGTACTCTCTAAAATTTGCAAAAGTAATCATTTTCTTTGAGTATTATTCATACTCAGATAGTTATGAGTACTTTGTAAAGCTACTAATTGTGAAGTACTCTGCCCAGCTCTGCATACTATCAACACGTTGCCAGTCACTGGTCTAATCACTTATCGATAGTCACTCCAAAACAAGCAAAGCAGGACCACTATGTTTTCTCAGTTTACGATGCACTATTTTAGTATAGTTACACAACATTGCATATAATAACTCTTTTTTTTTTTAGGTAAATCTAAACTATGATCCGATGGTCTCTACTAGTTCTGAAAATTGTCATTCCAATTTTACCGAGGAATTCAAAGTTAAAAATGAAGTGAAAGATGATGTTGAGGTAAGAATTTCTCATCTCACACATTGATGATAGACATATCGTCGTTCAAAATGCAAAGATCAAGTTGTCGAATATTCCTCCTATTTTTAATTAATCTTTTATAACGTATAATTGGTGCTTAATATCGTGTTCCATTCAATAATATATGCTGAACTAAGAATAAACCAGAAAACATATAATTATAGGATCAAATTATAAGGAAAAATTTTTTTTTTATCTCCTGAAAAAATGCAGTTTTTAACTTATTTTGCAATTTGAGTGATGGTACAGCTCCTGTACTTGCGTTTTATCGCCTTGCATGTTCCATTCTGTTCTTCTGCAATATCGTATGTGTAAATCGCAAGGTGCTTAAATCCGTTTAAGAAAATGTTACAGGAGAACCAAAAACTAATTTAAATTAAAACTCTTGAACTTATTAAAACTGAATTTGTTTTTATGAGAAATATTGCAATTTGGATGAATAATAAAATAAGCATTTCTCAGACGGTAAATCTGCCATTTTAGTACTAGATTGAGTGTACGTATTTTGCAATTTACACTGATATCTCAAAGAGTCTAGAAAATATAGTTGTTTTTCCTTTTAGGCAAGTTCCAGTTATCATAACTTTACTGAGGCATATCAAATCAAAAAGGAAGAAATTTGTGAGGTAAGTACCCGGTTTTTAGAAAATACTGCTGAGCTAACCAATTGAAATTAGTTTTTTTTTTGTGTATTGCTAATGACGATATTGTATTTAGTAATTAACATTATTGTATATTTTAGGAAATTGGAAACATTGTTTTCACGGTTTCCAGTTAAGTTATTTAATGTGATCATAATTAATTATTGTACTATAATATATAAAATTTCTTCTTTCCATTTAAATTTGTGACAAAACGACGTTCAACTTTTCATTATGATAATCTAAAGTATTATTTTAGTGAAGTCAAGATTGCTTTTTATGGTAAATTATTGATAGTTTTGAAGCACAAAATACCAATTAAAATTTTTCGTTTTCAAAAGAAAATATGTTAAATACTTACTAGTTTGTGGGTCGAAAGAAAACGTGAACCCTTGATCCACATGAGAGGCAGTCTCTATTTAATTAGCCAACCTTGTATACCTACTCAATATAATAAATATAATAATATATATTAAACTCTATAATTCATCATAAATATAATTTGCTTTAAAATTGTCTTTTTCGTCCTTACTGTCCAACTTTGGATAATTTACATTACCTACTTATCACAAGGATCCTCCCTGCTTAATATTTATTACATTTACCACATAATTCACAAAGTATCTTAATTTACCTATAGGTAACATTTAAAAGTTAAAAAAAAAAACGTCGTATTTAATGTCTTTTAGAGTTAGACGATGTTTGAAGGATTGGTATTTAATTATTTTAATCATGGTAAGCTGATATTCTGTACACGTTTTTTCCAGTGCCGGATTTAAACATTAATAGGTATAGGCCACTTCTCAGAAGTTCCTACCTATCATAGTCACTCACCTATCACCTAGGCCTTCATTAGGTAACACACAATTTTAAGTATTTAAATATAGGTAACGTAGGTATGAGGACTTTTTTTATACCAGAGCCACTGTCAACATCGTAGTCCTTTTTCACTTTTCAAAAGGTGGCAACCCTATAGTAGAGACAGTTTACTTTTTTCTTGAGACAATAAAAACCTTTGATATTTCTTCACTCCTTTAAACAAGGAACGTTTCTTTCTCCAGAACAATTTGTGGCCTGAGCGTAAAGCGCGACGGGGAGAGCTATATCCAAGTTCGGACAAACATTGATTCTTCAAAAACGTAGAGAGATTATAGTGAGAAAATGTATACATTCCTGAACCAAATCATTGGAATATTATTGTACGAGAGACTGAGCTTTTTCTGTAACTCATTGAGTTGATATTGAAAGTTTATCCATTGTTATCAGTTTTTTTTTTAAATTGACCTATTCTGTATACCTTATTTCTATCTCTCAACTCTCTGTCTATCCAGGATGACCAAAAAGATGTTTAATCTGAAAGAATATCTGGAGGTTGTTTCAATTTCATTTAATGGTTCGTCTGTAAATATTTTTCCTAGGTTGCCTATTATTAAAGAGTTATTGCAAATTTCTATAATGTCAGCCACTAATAGTGATAACGTAATGAGAGGCAAATAAATTCCATGCTAAAATAAGACTTATTGCAAACCTGAAATTTTGACATTAGAATCCTTGTCCTTATACATATTTCTGACCTCATTTTAAAAAGTTTTAATTGTTTATAATAGTCAGTTCTAGAATGTAAGTGATCTGCGCATGCTCAGATGTCAAAATAAGAGCGGCACTAATAGTGACTGACCTTAAGTGAACTTGCAATAACTCTCCCCAGATAACAATTATGCATTCTTAACATATTCTCAGAATATGCTTTTTAAGAATGTGCATATGCTGAGAATATACTTTATTTGCATTTGGAACATTCTCAGAATATACCAAGAATATGCTACGTGACGTTGTTTATACGTGCTATGCAGATGCTGAGAATGTACTCGAGTATGTGTACAGTATGCAATAGGTATCTACTTTAATTTGATAGTACGTTCTAAGTATATGCTTAGTATTTAAATATAGCATATGCTAGGCATATACTGGACACCCTAATACAGAATGTTTCATTAATATTGAACAATAAAGAATAATTGTATATAATGAAATCTTTATTTCAAAAAATTCATACTTATTCTTATTTTTAATACAAATTCTTTCTTTGGCCTTAACCAACCAATATTTCATTGTATCAATTGCTTGAGTTTCATTTGCTTGTTTCTATTGGATCTTCATTCAATCTAAAAAATAAAAAAAAATCAACAAACTTGGTACATATCGCACATCCGATCAAATAGAGTTATAACTTGAAAAACTTGAGTTTTGAGTAAAATAGATAAAAATGCTTAAAATTAAACGGTGCATCCTTTCAAACAGTGATATCTGTAAATTCATATATTCGCCACTAGATGGTAGATGTCACGGTTTAGCAATGAGACCAGTTTGCTCTTTAGTGTTCTCAGAACACTAATTATCAGTGTGACATTTAGTAATTTACTTTTTTTAAGTTATAACTCTATTTTATCGGAGGTGCGATATACAAATTAACTGTACATAGCTAAAGAAATATTTGTGTCGAACGTGAAACATTAAAAATTATACATGGCATTTCACTAACAAAAACAAGAGTTACATAAATGATTATTATGTTTAGTGAAAGTTTAAATATATTTTTGTTAATTACTTACCACCATTTTGTAGTTTTCCTCCTCCTTTAGCTAATTTTCTAGTTCTTCCAGGTCAATTTCTGGCCTTACAGGATTTTTTTCATAAAAAGTGTGTATGTAATTCTGGTAACACTAAATTTTAGTTTCAATCCGCCATTAGTATTAACCATATTAATAAATGCACACTGGCAATTAATATTTGGGATATCCTGTGTTCTAACATCACTTATAGGTCCTAAAAACTACAAATATTGTAAAATTTGTTTATTTTTATATAGAACACGATGCAATTAATTTTTACTAATTTAGTTACTGAAACGAATTTGTAGGAATTGTAGGTTGTGTTATTCTTATCTATTATTAAGGTTGTTTTTGGCCTAAACATTAGTGCGTCTGCTAACGAATTAATAGATCGGCATCTGGGAAAAATTTATATATTCATATAGATATGTATATAAACGTTTTTTTCATGTATTTGGTGTTAATTTTTACCTGCAAGCATTTAGAACATTCTCAGAATATGAGATACATGCTGGGTATATGACTTTTAGTATCTTCTTAGAATGTCCTGTTATAGCACGTGCTCAGTATATACTTTTAAGGCACGTACTCAGCATATACTTTCTAGAATATACTTTTAAAGTATATACTAGGTATGTTCTAAGAACATACTAAAAAGAACATAAACAGAACGTTCTTAGTATATTCATAGAACATTGATGTTATGTGGGTCTAATGTCGCCCTGAGATGCTTAATTACACTTTCTTGGAAATAAGTTTACTCATTGTGCTATTATAAACTCGAGAAGAGATCTTAAAGATCTGGTAGCGCCAGTACATCTATAGATAAAGTCTGAATCTGGGCCTTTCCAAAATACGACCATAAATGCAGTTTCAAGTTTTTCCAATTTGTGACTAATTTCCTCTGCTTCATTTCGTGGGATAATTTTATCTGGACTCTCATTTCAGTTATTTTCAAAACTCCAAGTACTCCATCCTAGATATGTGTGTGTATGTATTTCTGTTTGGCACTGGTTTCAAAACCAACTGGCCAGTCAATCTTTAATTAAATTTAATAAAGTTTATTTTGTGTTAATTCAATTTTAAGTTCTATCCTTACAATATTTCACAGTTCACATTTTATTTGAAAAATACAAATTTCTCTAAATACATTATTAAGAAGTAAATCCTATAATAGGTTTTTTCTAGCTCATGTTTTTGCTTGTTTTTAATTTTTTAGTCTGTTTTTGTTTTTTACTTGTTTTTGTTTGTTTTTTTTTGTTTTTCTTTTTTTTTGCATTTTTTTTTTTGTTTCAATTTTGTTTTTTTTTAATATTTAGTTTTTTTATATTATTTTTTATTTTTGTACATATTTTAATTCTTTTCGTCAGAGCTTCAAATTTAAGGAGTTTACATGATTATAAATAATTTTGTATACATCGAAATTCTTGAGGGCGAGAAGGTGTGACAAATTAATAGGTAGTTGGACATTATGTTGAATAAGTTTGGTATATAGATTTTATATGTCAATATCATTTAAAATACATTCTAAAAGTAAATGTTGCTACCTCGCCGCAGATGCATTCATCATTGTCTACCAATCCCATTCTTCTTTTATAATTTGGAGTCAGGCAATGATTACTTCTAATTCTACAAGTCGTTCTAATAAAACTTCTGTTGCTGAATTTGCTAAACCATGGTATGGAGGGTATCTTGCTTTGAATATGATATAGATATGTCTCAAGACTTTTACAGACATCTGCTTTTGTTGACCAACATGAGGTTTGCCCACTAGTGTCTTTTCTCTTTCTATTTCATTAACTAATTTTTTTCAACGTTCTGTTGACCTCGCAAAGAAAGTATATACCCCTTCCAGCAATATGAAGCTTCTGTACAGGACTCAACGGCCGAAGTCTCCACCAAATTTAAAGAGTGAGCTGCATAATGGACTAATATAGCAAGTGGCTTGTTCTTGAATTTTGGCTTGTGAACCATTGTAAATTCCAGACATGTTCGAAGCATTATCATACGACTGACCACGAGAGTCTTCTAGATTTATGTTCAACTTTGTATTGAATTTTTCATCTAGAACCAAATTCAGCCTTGAACTAAGTTTAAAGTCGTTTGATACAACTCGCCCTAATAGATAGAAAAATCTATCTACCCGCAAGTGATTTGTCCGTTTATAATCGTGCACAAATAGCTCACCAAAGCGCTCTCTCTCTCTCTCTCTCTCTCTCTCTCTCTCTCTCTCTCTCTCTCTCTCTCTCTCTCTCTCTCTCTCTCTCTCTCTCTTTCTCTCTCTCTCTCTCTTTCTCTCTCTCTCTCTCTCTCTCTCTCTCTCTCTCTCTCTCTCTCTCTCTCTCTCTCTCTCTCTCTCTCTCTCTCTCTCTCTGCCGCCCCAAACCGCGGCCTATTGACGACAAATCCAGGACTATGTTCTTCTATCGATTTTTTTTTTCAGAAAAATGTTAACGAATATTTAATTTAAGGATACATTACTTCATCACTAATCATATACAATATACGTGCTTACTGCTGTCGGTTACAACTTTACTGTAAAAAAGGTTGTTTTTTTTACCCTTTTAGACATATCTCTGCTCCCCCAATCAGGCTTCGTTCCAGCTACTGTCGGCACTGAGGCGCAGATGGCTTATTGTGCCACCATTTGGATGCCCTATTCCTCTCCATTCAACGTACGCTCATTCATTCCATGTCGTCGATGTTTAACTGCTAGTCGGCTAAAGGTTGTCTCTCACATGCCCATCCCGTCCCGTCAGAGTACGGATAGAATGAAAACAGTAGAAATGAATTGAGGACCGCTCAATAGACCGGCACGTCACGGGCCAGTTACACCCTCGACGGAAGGGATTGTCGCTCTCCGAGCTTTCCCGCAAACGACGGTATGTGCCATGATGGACTATCCAAATGAGCGCGTTACTGGCCGGCGAATCGGTGGCCAGCATTTTGTGATCCTGTCGAAACCTGTCGCTCGCATATCTGTTTAGCAATGTTTCGGCAGTTGCTTCTGAGTGTCCAAGCACAAAGGTGTTATTATTATGTTAAAAATGGAAAAATTAATTTGCTTAGTTCAAAAGTATAAGGAAATTTACAACTTAAGTGACAACGCCTATTAACATCAGAAGGATAAAGGATTACAAATGAAAGGAAATTACTACGTGTGTTAAACTAAAAACATCTTTCGCGGTCAGGGCGGCTTGTCGGTATCGTTTCGACCGCAGAGTGGGCGACATAGTTTCCGTTGGCGTCTGTAGTCGGACAGAAGACGGGTCGTACTGTGACGGGCAAATGAGTGACAACCTAAGTCGGTAGTACGTCACACATCCACGACGTGATCGGAGTCTCACGGCTTAGCTGTTCCGAGAATGTGGATGTACGCTAATCTCGCCGCTAGCCTCTCAGGATGTAAAAAGATTACGCCTATATAACTTTTTGGAGGCATTAAATTTTGGTTGCTGGTTACATCCTTTCCTCTAATTATGTATTTTGACCGCGTGCATTTGAAATGAGGGTTAGATTAGATTTAAAAGGAGTTGGACATTATTTGTCCAGGTCCACCGCGACTTTTTCAGATCTATTGTGGGACTCCGTTTTTTAGAGTATGTCGTCTAGCTTGGTCTTTTTTAAGACTTAGTAGCTTTGACAGTGGCTTACGCATGTAGTTGCATGTGTTTGGCTTTTCTTCGCCCACTGTTAGAAACCTCAATCTAGCCAGGCCTCCAGAATGGTACAGGACGTGGATTGATGTTTACTCTCCTTCTTCTTCACATAACCTGCACAAAGTTTCTTCTTTTGCTGGATTGATGACACTCGTGTGCCATCTTAGGCGACAGGGTCCGGTAGGAAGACCTACCGTTATCCAAAATGAGGGTTAAATCCATATTTATCGTTTTGAAGATTACGATATTTGGCCTATAAGGTATCGATATAACCATTCGAAGTGAAAAATTATATAATCTTCCATCTCTACTTTTTCTCTGAATTTTCGGTAATTATTTAGATACTTTGTGAATATGGATGTTAACCTGTAATCCATCTATTTTGAATATGGCTTATTGTTTTTAATTAACTCTACCCTAGTACCGCCTCAATACAAATTTTCATAAGCTGTTCTTATTGTTACTAAATTTTTAATTCCTGGTTTTTATTAAATTTCCATTGAGAGCACGATTTGTTTTTCGTGTTTGTCCATATCAGATTATTGACGAAATTTTTGTTGCAGTTGTTGTATTCCTACGTAGAGTTAAACGGTGAAGCTCTACAATGAGTTCGAACACAGCTATTCAATACAATAAAAATCACACTTGCATGTTATTATGTCCAGAACTTCGCTTTCTGGGTTAGCACGAATTTTTTGTTACATTTTGCCGGAAATTCCGTAACGAAATTTAATAAAAACCATGATCAAAATGTAATAATTTACGATTGCGTAAAATATTAAAGAATAATTCAAATTGCAGGTGAATGTAAAAATGGAACCCATTGAAACAGAAGAAAATTTTTGCAACATTCCAGTTCTTGAAGAATCTAAAATCAAACGTGAATTAGATGCCGACGAGATTAGCCCGCCTGTTAATTTAAAACGTGTTAAACTGGAAAATGGAATTGAAATAAAACAAGAAAATCTACAAGATCTTCACGAGAGTAATGTTTTTGTTAAAATTGAAAATGAAGAGATACAAATTAAAGAAGAAAATTTACAGTGATAAAGAACAAGAATCCAAGAATAATTGAGGTGGATAATTAGGCCCTGTTTATTAGGACATGTGATGTGATATGCTAAAATGGCAAATAAACTGGGATAAAAGAAAAACAAAAATATATAAATTTTTGTCGGATAAAAAGATTACACATTCGCCTTATTTGACACTTTTTGGCTTTTCTCTAAAGCTAAAGATGACTGAAAAAGCTGTAATTAAAAATATTCACATTATTGCAAGTAAAAGTATTTATCAGTTTTAGAGATGAATTTAATTCACGAAATAAATGTAATCCATTTTTAATTCCGTTATAAATCTTTTTAAACTTGTTTATTCTGATTTATCTGATCAATTTTATATTTTGCTTATGAAATTACATGCCATTATTATTATTTTTTTAATGTCAACATTAATTTATTTTTTATATGTATAATTTTTTATCACAATTGATATTTGTAATTATGAAATACAAAGAGTTACTTAAGTTTTTAGTTTGATTTTCTACCAACCAATATGTGTTATTAACAAAATAACATATAGTTACAGTGGCGTAGATAGGGCAATTCGGTGCAAAGCACCGGGGCCACGCAGATATTTAGGGCCCCTCAGATTTTAAAAATTCATTGTTTTTAATAAATGTCTAAAAATTATAGCAATTACGAAACGTTCTCAGTGGAGATTGTTCCTTTAAAAATTGATAGGGAAAAGTAGTGTACAGGGTGATTTATTACTAATTAAAAATTTTCAACTATAGAATCCTGAGCTCAAATTATGAAGATTTAACCCAAATCACCTAGATAAAATGTCTCTCCATTCTGAGTTACAGGGTGTTTTGTTTAAAAATTTAAAAGTTATTTCTGTCCAGTACTTTAAAACTATTTGACGTATTATTGTCATATTTGGCGGGAAGTGTAGATACTATACACCCTACTAAATTATATTAAATAAACGTTTCTGGCTACCATCAGAGACGTGCGACAGGGCCAAGTGACTGGTTAATCCTTCCCAAATTCTACGCCACTGGCGGAATTACAATTTTATCACAATTTTTCGATTATCCAATAGTTCCTAAGTAAATATTGTACTCTTTCTTCATAGTAATAAAGTTATTATTTTTCGAGATATTTTAAGTTAAACAAGAAGTTGTACAATTATTTTGATTTTAATGTGTATTAATAATTATGTCGGTGTTTTGGGACATTAGATTGCATTTATTACGCAATTGAAACTTTAATCCATATTAATAAAAATGTGTCTCCTGTTTGAGTTTCACAGTGTGTTATTTAAAAATTATTTGAGTCCAGTACTTTAAAACTATTTGGCGGGATACATGCTTCCATAGTACGACATATTCAAAATAAGCTTATGTTTTGTGTAGTTGGCTCTGGTCTGACATAATTGTTTCGATCTAGTAGGATGCTGTCATTGCTGTTAGTTATTACTGACACTTAAGATTGTGGTGGTTGTAAAATTTAAAAAATCGATTAAATGAAAATGCCGCGGCACAACAATTTAAATAATCTTGAAATGCGAGACATGCTCTATGTTTATGTAAATGAAAATTATTTCTCTCTTGCTGCTACTCGAAGATATCAAGAAATCTATCAAAACAGAGTTCATCCCAATCGCCAGACTTTCAGTAATATTTTTAGTCGATTAGGAGAAACTGGACAATTTAGGCGTAACAGTGGTATGGGATGACCGAAAATATTAACTATGGATCAGGAGGATGATATTTTAGTAAGAGTTCCCGATAATCCTGAACTAGGCGTTTAGCAGCAATGACTGGAGTAAGTCAGTCCTGTTTTTCGAATACTGTAAAAAAGAACAAAGACCTTACCACTTTACACTGGTACATAATTTATTGTCTAGAGATTATCCTTTACGAACGAATTTTGCTCATTGGATGATAAATAAAAAAAAATAAAAATCGTAATTTTATTGAAAACATTTTTACTATTCTTCACAGAACCTGCACAAACTTTCTTCTTCTGCTGGATTGGTGACACTCATGTGCCTTCTTAAGAAACAGGGTCCGGTAGGAAGACGTGAATTTACGTGGCCTCCTCGTAAAGTCAGAAGATCGTTTAGCAAAAGAATGAACAAACTTATTGAGGTAAACGGGGGTCACATTGACCATTTAATATAAAAAGTATTGTTCTTTGTGCTTTTTGATATTTTCTTCTTTTTAAAATTGTTCCATTATTTAGATTATTTGTTTTTAATTGTTTAATCCATGTTAACGTGGTTAATCACTCTCTATGAAATAAATGGTCTGTATGATTTAATTACTGGTTCTATTAAAAGAAACAAAAATACAAAAAAGTGTGCCACTCGGCAATACAAAGCGTTTACAAATAATAATTTAAAGTTTACTCAATGTAAAACAAAATAATTGAGTGTTTAACTTAAAATATCTCGAAAAATAATAACTTTATCGCTAAAAAGAAAGAGTATATGTACGTAGAAAGTATTGGTGAATCGAAAAATTGTGATAAAATTGCAATTTTACCAGTGGCGTAGAATTTGGGAAGGATTAACCAGTCACTTGGCCCTGTCGTACGTCTCTGATGGTAGCCAGAAACGTTTATTTTAACATAATTTAGTAGGGTGTATAGTATCTACACTTCCCGCCAAATATTTATTTATTTATTCAAAATCCATACAGGCTTTTCAGCCTTATTACATGGATAGTATAAGATAATAACAAAATAATTAAGAACTTAAAATTAAAAAATGACATACCTACTAAAGCACTAAATTATAAATAATAAAAGCTAGAAAAGAAAAAGAAAAAACACGAAAACAACACAATTTCACCAAACAATATCAGATCATATACTCATAATTTCAAAATAATGTAGAAGTGTTTTCCGATATTCTTGATATGACAGTCCAGTCTAAATTCCGCATCATATTTATATTGTTGGCTAAACGTAGAATGGAGAATGAGTAGAGGTTGTTTGTAAATTGAACATTAAAGGGCAACGAGTGCTTTTTGGAGGAACATTGATAGAAACAAGAGATAATAAAGTGCTAGATGAAATCTGATTATTCATTAAATTAAATAGAAATTTCATCATTGCTTGTTTACGTCTAATGATCAAAGAAGGAATTTCAAATTCTTGTCTTAATGTCTGGGTTCTTATTTCATTATAGTCTGGCCAACGATGATATTTTTTATAATACAGATAGCGAAGAAACTTATTTTGAACCTTTTCAAGGGTATCTAAGTACATTTGTGGCTGTTGTTCCCAAATTATAGATGCAAAATCTAGTTTTGACAGAACAAGTGTATTGTATAATAATTTAATGGTTTCCAGGTTAGAAAATAATGAAGTTTGTCTTATAATAAACCCTAAAGTACGATTAGCACTTTTAACTGTATTTTCTATATGAGTGGCATATGATAACAGGCCATTGTATGTAACTCCGAGATCTTTCACTTCTGAAACTCTATTTAAAGATGTATCATTCATGTTATAATTAAAAATAACAGGTTCCTTTTTACGACTAATTGACATTACATAACATTTTTTTATATTAAAATTTAATTTATTATTTAAACTTCATTGATATATTGTTTTGATATCTTTCTGGAGCGCTACACAGTCTCTAACTGTTTGGACTTTCTTAAACACCTTAAAATCATCTGCAAACATTAAACAATCAGAGAATTTAACAGAAGTTGGCAAATCATTGATAAATATTAAAAAAAGTAGTGGTCCAAGATTAGATCCTTGCGGGACTCCAGAATATGATTTTTTTTTTTTTGGACGAAATATTTCCATTGTATTTTACAACAAAGTGTCTATTTTTTAAGTAACTTTTGAGTAGCTCTAATAATTGTCCTGTAATACCTAAACTATTTAACTTTGCTAAAATAATATCATGATTAACTTGATCAAAGGCCTTACTGAAATCGGTGAAGATTACATCAAGTTGTAATTTTTCATTTAGAGATTTTGTGGCTTGATCCAAAAATATGAAAAGGTTTGTATTAATTGATTTCCCTTTAACAAAACCATGTTGTTCTTCTACTAAAATATTTTGAATATGTTTATATATTTTAATATAAATAATGTGTTCAAACAGTTTTGAAGCAGCACACAAAATAGCAACACCTCTATAATTTTCAATGTCCTTTTTACTTCCCGATTTATGTATTGGTATATATGTTGCGAATTTCCACTGTGTAGGATACGATGAGTTTTTAATAATTAAATTAAAAATATGCAATAAGGGTGTCTTTAACCACTCTTGACAGCCTTTTAAAATGTAAGGTGGTATTATATCACTACCAGCACTTTTTTTTTGTTTTAATCGCTTAACCGCTTCATCATAATCATCTGCATTTATTGCATTTAAATGACATTGATTGTATTGATTTAAAGTAACGTTCACATGATCTAAATTATATACAGATTTTTCAGAGGAATGCACGGACATAAAATATTCCGCAAATTTTTCGGCAATATCTTTGTCAGGTACTTGACTACTTTCAAAGTAAAATGTTTGTGATTGACGTCCCTCATCTCTTTTTTTGTTGACATAATTCCAAAAATTGTTCACATCCGCAATTGTATTTTCCTCTATTTTCTTTAAATATTTCTTATGTTCTTTCCTTATTAATGATTTTAATTTTCTCCGAGTTTCAATGTACATATTATTAAAATAATCTGAAACATGTTTCATTTTGTAGTAATAATTCTTTTCTTTCAATAAATTAATAACAGCATTAAACCATACTGGAAATTTTTTATAATTCACATACGTTTTATATTGAGGTACAGTTTGATTAAAAATATTATATACGTTTGAATAAAAATGTTCTAAAGCAAGTTCTACATTATTTATTTCGGTAACATTATCCCAATTCATTTCTTTCATATATTCATACATTAGGTGAAAATTAGCTTTCTTAAAATTGTATCTATTATCAGAGAGTTTATCTGTACCAACCTCTTTCTTACATATATTGAATAAAATGTTCATTGCTAGAGCTGGGTGTAGTACGTCTTCCGGTACTAAAGGAAAACGTTCCTTAATAATGTTACAATTCCTAGCATTCTCTTCAGTCATAATAACGAGATCCAATGTTTTTCCTTGTGAGTTTTTTACATTATTATGTAGTATAAAAGAATTAAAAGTTCTATCAGAATGCTACCTTTAGTACTTATATTCATTGATTCCAAATAACTAATTCCTTTAATCTCGGGAAAATTAAAATCACCAAAAATAAATATTTTGTTAATATCTTTTACATAATTTTGCAATAATTGAAAACAAGATATGTAATCATTTACTCCAGCATTAGGCGGAATGTAAAGTCCTACAATAGTAACATTAAACTTATTAAAATTTTTTACATCTATAGCTAAAATTTCAAAAGTTGAGGCATGTTGTGTAATATTTAAAATTTTATGCTGTTTCTTAAGGGCCATGACAACCCCACCGCCCCAAGCCTTTCCTGTAATTTCTAAATTTCTATCTGTTCTAAATATATTATAAGAATCAACATCGACTAACTCTCCACTCTTGACACCCTCCTTTAGCCAAGATTCTACAACTATTATTATGTCATAATTACCTTCTGAAGTGTTCGCATAAAATTCTGCCGTTTTCGTGTTCAATCCCCTACAGTTCTGATATGCTATTGACAATTTTGACATACCTACCTATGAAAAACGTATATAGTGAGTTCACCTGAATAATAAAATACAAAGAAAAACGTGATAGTAGTAGCAGTAACAAAATACTAGACATGTATTATCTTTAATTTAGAAATAAAATAGAAAAGAAAATTGAATTCAATGAATATATAATTTCAGTTTTAGAAAAAACTAATATTGAAATTTAAAACATATTTAAAAAATAAAAAATTAGAAAGTGGAAAGAAAATTTATGTAACAAATGTTTGTTTTAAAATATAACAAATAACAACCAACCGATATTTAAATCTCATAGAAAACCTGAAAAAAAAATTTAATTAAAGCAGCAATTATTTACAAGTTTAGTAATAAATAATTACTCAAATAACATTTGACATTTAAAAATACTCTCCAAAAAATAATTTTGAAATTATAGTAATAATTAAAATAACAACTTGCAATTAAAATCCCATCTCAAATAAAACATAAACAAAATTAAACTTGTGGTCGTGATCTATCTAGAAAAGAAGGAAAACAAAAAAAATTTTTTTTTCTAAAATTCACAATAGTTCCAGCTCATTTTATTCAGCGTATTACTTAAAAGTGTCCATACACTACCCAGTAGAATCGGTTTAGATATCAGCTTCACAAATTATTTTCTTAATACCATCGTTTTGTTTCATAAATATATCTCCATTTCGGCCCCAAACTTCATTTTTGCCGTATTTATTTAGGTTGTAGCGTTTGTTGATTAAATTTTCATTAACAAATATTCCAGTCTGTTTCAGGGTTCCTTTTGATTTAATAATTTCGTTCCTTTTTAAGTAAGATACAAATTCAATTATTATCGTTCTAGGTTTACCTTGTATGTTAGTTTTACCTAATCTGTATAAATTTGATATATCTGAAATTGTACATTTAACTTTCATCGTATTGTTTACCAAATTAGTAAAAATTGACAACATGTTTTCATTTTCTTCTTCCTTAATTCCATTAAAGCGAAGCGAATTTTTTCTTTTAAAAATTTCAAATTCATCACATTTATCATGTAATAAATATGACAATAATACGTCAAATAGTTTTAAAGTACTGGACAGAAATAACTTTTAAATTTTTAAACAAAGCACCCTGCAACTCAAAATGGAGAGACATTTTATCTAGGTGATTTGGGTTAAATCTTCATAATTTGAGCTCAGGATTCTATAGTTGAAATATTTCCAATTAGTAATGAATCACCCTGTATAGGTGCACATGGTCTACCTATAGTGGGACAAAGCCATCTAGAGCCTTTCATTGAGAAGTAAATGAATTATTTATGCCAACCAAATTATGATGAAATGTATGAATACAGATTTTACATTTATCTTTCGTACTTTTATATAACTGTCTAAGGTTTTTTTTAACAAAAAAAAAAAAACATATTTCAGGACATTCTGGATATATAATGGGACGTGTTAAAGTTTGAGAATGCAAAGTCTTTCTTCTCCGAAACAAAAGATGAAGATATATTAGAAAGAGAAGACGTGCTTGTAAGCTGCGAAAACCAAATTAATAATACTCTCCCTAATTCACCCCCTTACGAGTGAATTTTAACCCCAAAAGCTGAGCTTGTGCGGACAAAGGGACGGATATTATTATTTGCCATGGCGCTCCGGGGCGACTTAAAGGATTGATGGTGCCATTTGACTTACAGGTGAGGAAAACCTCACCCACCATCATCGAGACGGTAATACATGGCGATTTTTATAATCTGCATGTCATATCAACAGAAATTGAATTTCTATTAATACGGCACACATTAAATCCTATACCGAATCATGCAATTTAATTAAAAATCCACATGGTCTGGCCTGGGATTCGAAGCCCGTCAGTCTCTGGCCATAAACTTGCCTATAAATGAATATAAGCGCGTTAGACTGCTACACCACCTACCCGACACGAATTACCATGGAGGAACAAAGAAAGTAATAAAATTTTTGGTTTTAGTAAATAAAATATTTATGTATTTTGAAGTTTTTTGAAAGAGTACCCGAGAACTTTTCTTTAAACCTTAAACATTTTGATGGTAAAAACCAAATGGTTGGAATTCGTTTCTTCGAGCTAGAGCAGTTCGTGTAGAGATATTGATACCAAACTTGGTATATGGCTGTATTATCCCATTAGTATCAAGATCGATAAAAAAATGCGTCCCAATCCCCTAAATTATATGGAGGGGGTGTCGCCCTTAAAAAATAAAGTTACAATTTGTTCAATAAAACAATTAGAATCTACGATATATTTTACGAACAAACCCGAAAAATGAAGTCACAACTTGTTATGTGAAATCATTATAATTTACATTTTTTTACATATGATTCAGGTCAAACATGATTCAGTCCAAAGATAAAATGTCAAAAAATTTTAACTTTTGGTTATATATGTAGAAAAAAATCGCGTAATTCAGCGGTTTCATTTAAAAAGTTCTATTAAATACTTATTTGGAAATGCCACCCCCTCCATCTTCTCCTAGGAGAAGGTGGGGGTAATATTTTTATAAGGAAACGTTGTAAATGAGGAATACTTATGACTGTTCAGGGCCAAATTTTTGGAAAATAAAAAAAAAATTTTAGTTTGTACGAAAAAATCGTAGATTCCAATTGTTTTCTTAAAAAACTTGGTAACTTTATTTTTTGGTGACACCCCCTCCTTATTAGCCACAGGCTGGAGGCGAATTTTCTTATGGGATAAAAAAATACAGCCACACTCCCCTAATTTGTTTTATTTCTGTCAGACTTGCAAATGTTTCATTTATTATGGTTTTAGGTCTATTTTCAGTTTTTATTAAAATTGTGAAGATTTTATTTTTTCATATATACTGAAATTAGACGGTCATATTTTAACAGATTAATCTACATCTTAAAATAGGAATAAAACTTTATATAAACATAGGTCCGAAAACGTTTCTTTTCCGAGATACAGGTTGTTTAAAGTGAAGTCCTGATGACACTCTTTTGTAAATATTTTCTAAACGCTGAAAGATAACTAAGTGAAATTTGGTACAAATGCTTACCTTTTTACGCTCTATTTAATGGACTAAACCACAGTTTTCATAGGTGGGTAAATTAGGGGGGGGCTTGGTAAAATTGCTCTAAGTTTTTTTTGTTGAGTTTTTAACATTTTTATCTATAAAATTTGGAAAAGCAATGTTTTCTTTTTAATAAAGCTACTTTTGTTGCATCTCGCTAGGACGCACCATTTTCAAGAAAATAGCATTTGAAAATTTCATGATGTTATTCGAAAGTGTAAACAATAATTAGTAGGCCTGTGAAATCAGAAATTTTATTTGTTTTTGCTTTGGAAAACCGGTGACTAAAGAAATTTTAGAAAATGTTTACAAAAATGTGCCATTAGGACTTCACTTGTAACACCCTGTATCTCGAAAACGAAACATTTTCGGACCTATGTTTATAAACTTTTATTCCTATTTTAAGATGAAGTTTTGACACAGGGAACCTGGAAAAATATCTTGCACAGAGGCCCCCTGTGTCAAGCTACGCTACTGTATATTTATTATAGATCGAAGCTGTGATGGAGATCTTTCAAAATGAAAAAGTATGTAGGTTCATTCATATCATTTAATTATCTATATGAACATTATAACAAACAATAAATCAGAGAGCTACCATACTATGATACGTGTACACGCTGTATATGATGACAGATCTAGTAAGGCTTGGATTCGTCCAAGATCTCAAATGCATTATTTATTCCAAAAATTAATACGTCAAGACACTGTCAATAATTAAAATAAATACTCATCAGACTTATATACCAAATATTAAGTGCCGACTAGGAGAAATTTTTGGAATTTTGCTTGGCACACTGACGTTTTTAACCATGCTATCGAGTCGATTGCATTTATGTCATAGTTGTATAATTAAGACTAATTCAAAAAGGCATCTTTTAGTTTTGTTGTTGATTTAATTTTTATCGATTACTGGAAAGGCAGTATTTTACCTTCTCCACTGCGTTCTACTGAATGGATATAATTTCATATCTATTCTAGTAAGGATACAAAAAAAATTCAAAGGGATAATATTTAGCCCTCAAATCTTGTATCTGTGATGGCAATAAGCAGATTAAAATTTTATATAACAATTCTGTCAAAAGTCAAAACTAATCGTCAGTATACTTTTTAGTTGAGATTAAATATAATTAATAATTGCAATTCACTATACTCGTTTTTATTTACAAAGAAACTGTAAATTTAAATAAAACTTACTAAAAATCAATAAAATTATAAATGTTAAGCCATAAAAAATATAAAAGGTGGTAGAGCAACAGCTTGAGTGATGTGTTCCCATTGCAAAGGGTGGGGTTCAAATCCCCGAAGCGTTTTTTATTAGTAAAATCATTTCAAATGTTTTCGTTAAAATAGTTATTTTATCTTAATAACTCCTAAATTTTTGTTAGTGGGTGGCAGAAAAAATATACTGTAAAACTCAAGTGGATTGTCCTTATCCATCATATCATTCTTGTTGCACAAACTATACAATTGTGTACTTTTTACATAATTCGTGGACATAGGCGTCGCCACACGGGGGCCCCTTCTAGATAATTTCGCCATGGCGTTTTGACCCTACCTATAAAACGCCCCTCCCTGGAAATTTTTTGAACGGCGCCCACGATGGTGGATATATTCTAGCCGTGTCATTAATATTTATTTAGAATGAGGTTATCACATCACGTCTTTCAGAGTTCATTTATTTTCTTTATTCTAAAATTAAACAGTTTACTAAGACATGGCACCTCTTGTGTTAAAAATTTCATTTTAGTTATTATATCTACTACTTTTATTTGGTCATTTCTTCAAAATAATTGTCGTTTCTGCTTAAGTTTGGAAATAAATCGCGCCTTTACATTGCGTCACTATTGAGATATTTCTCCTTCCCTCAATGTATGTTCCGATTGTGATAGGATTGAGCTTGTTTCATTTAATATTTTAAGGCTTGTCACGACACTAAATAAAGTATTAATTAGAACTTGTTCTATTTAGTACTAAAAATGCGTTAAATGATGCGCAGCTTTTTGAGACTTTGGGGGCTATTCCGTCTTACAGTTGCTACCGAGCGAGCAAGTTTATTAGACCAAGGTCTTATATTACCACTTTGAGGAAATCAGAATTCTCTAGGTAAAATTTATAACTAGTGGTTGCAAAAGTGGATTCAAAGTTATTTGAATGCAACCAAAATATTCTTAGTGGTTAAGGTTAAGCGTAACAACTAGTTGCTGAGAAAGAAATATGAATCGTTGGATGATGAATATTTTAATAGACCAATAAATTAATGGGAGGACTGTTTATCGACAAGATGAGGAACTTATCAGAGCCAAATAAGTATATCTATTATTTTTACTAACGGTTTGTTTTAGAAATGACTTCAGCAGACTACTATTTCTTGCTCGAAATCTGCAAGGTGGAGAGAGTGGGTCCTACACCCACATCACTTAGATATTGATAGGAATATTGTGCATCCTCCAGGAGCATACAAAACTTGCCTCTCACCTTGTCAAAAAGCCTGCTGGTTAACGTCACCGAGCTCTGTCTTCTCTTGTGACAACCTCTCAGATCGTCTGCTTGCGATAAAGTTGCATATTATATTTTGCTGTCTTAGTGGAATTTTAGAACAACTTTTTTTCAAATTTCAAACCAGTACACTAACAAAATATAAAAATCTCAAATTAATTATATTTCACTTCTAGACCATCAGATAGCGACGTGTTTAAGTGCCCCATTTTTGCATACAAGCTTCAAAGAGGGTTGAAAAGTACATTGATTTTGGGTAGAATGAAAGGATTTTTACGAGTGGCTCCTGGGGATAACATATGGAAAATTCGATTTTCCTTAATAAAAATTAAAGGTATTTTGTTGCTCATATATTCACTCAAGCCGTGTTCACTAAATGATTAACTAATAAAACTAGGCTTCGTAAAACCAAAAGCTTTAATGTTGCTAATGGCTAAAGGGTTGATTGAAATAAGGACGTAATCTTGTAAGGAAAAATCAAGACTAACCGATTTTTCCACAATAGCCCATCGAATGTATGAAAACGTATATCGTCACTAGTCCAAAAAACATATTGGATAGAATGACCTGAATGAATAAGTGCATTTTAAGGTCGGAAAATTTTTCTGTTAAGGAAAATCGAATTTTTATGTTTTATCCCCAAGATTTACTCGTAAATTTTCTTTCATTCCACTCAACAGCTATGTACACTTTGAGGCTTGTATGTGAAATGGAGCACTTAAATCGGTCACTATCTGGTGCTCTATTGAAGTCAAGGCCATGAAGGTATTGGATAAGCCTCCTCATTCGAAGGTTGTTGTTAAAAGCCTGATTTACAACATAGTATACATACAAATAGTATTTTTATAGGAACCATGAATAAATACAGGAATAGCAACTTTTGTCAAAATTGTTATACAGTTGCTTTGAAAGTGGTAAGATAACAAGTTGTTAGAATATTGCCAGATAACAACCATAGTTACAGAATAGACCTCCTTAACTTTTCAAAAGCTGCCAGTAAGCTTGTTTATTAAAATAAGTAGGACATTCCTTTTGATAACCTTTAAGTACTAAACACATGACATATTCATAATATTGTTGTTTTTCAATATAAGTTTTTCCATTTCCAAATTTGCTAGCTACTGATATTCTCAATTTCAACATTACCGAACTCGTCGTCTGGGAAGCTTTAGAGACCAACAAAATTCCATAAACTTCGTGTAGTCGAAAGACGTACATTAATAAAAAAGGAAGAAATAAAACACTAGAATTTTATTTACACTCTTCACACCGTATTTAAAAAAATGATTTCGTTTTAATGCCTAACATATTTATATATATACAAATTGCGAATAGTGGAAAATAAAGTCCAAAATATCAGTTTCATTTTTTTTTTATTTAAGTTGACTCGCTGCAACGTTCAAGAAAACGCTAAAGCCGTAGTCCAAAAATCAACAAAACTAAAATCACAAACTCGAGACGAAAATTTACACAACTAAAACATTTTTCCTACAGAAGCATCAGCTCAACATTCGAGTCCCATGCTCCATAACACTATTTAACGACAAAAATACTCCAGATTAAAATTTTGTGCTTTGTAGAACATTTAAAAAAAATCAGTTAGTTCTATCAATAATGTACAGGTTAGTTTGTGCTATTTGAGAATTGAACATTTCAACCATAAGAGTAATTCTGTCAAAAAAATATGTCTGCATTGACAAAAAAATGAAACAGATTTAAAAAATAAATAAACATATTTAGACAAACTTTAGAACCAGTAGAAAAAAGTTTATGTGAAAAAATAACAAAATGTAAAAATAAAACAACCAATATTCTGCTTGTTTGTCTAGAAAAAATCAATTCAAATATTAATAAAGAAAATGTCTCATTTCCGTTTTCATTTTTAAATCGATGCTCACAGGGGGCAAACATTGTTGTTCGCTAGTTGCATAATAACTCATGTCCATCGTTAAGCCTACTAGAATTCAGTAATTATACCCTAAATATTGTTAATTACTAAAAATGGGGAATACATGTTTTTTATTTTCATTCAAGCGTATTATAACCATCAGTTTTTTTTATAAATGATAATATACACCACAAAATCACTTCAGAAGTGAGTCCAGAACATTGTATCACAGTTCACCAATACCCACAAAAACTGTACATCATCGACCAAACACTGTGTATATAGGCCAGGATCTGAAAAGAAACAAATAAATACATTAATTTACAAATAAATTAAAAAAAGCATAACAAATATTTCAAATACAATTTAATTGTTGTCAAGATGAAACCTAAAAACTAAATCTTTATCCAAGCCAGTTTGATATAAGCACGTAACTCTATCAATTTTATTGGCATTTAACTCTTTATTAAATATAAATACAACATACAATTAATTATTATCTATCTACAATAGATTGGGCTACTTATTTAACCAATACGGATGTCAATGTTGCAGTACAACAACTGTATGATGTATTGTACTATTCAATGCACTCTTTTATACCTACAACGATTATAGGCAATACAAAATTTCCAACTTGGTATAGCTCTGAACTAAAGAGCTACATATTTGAGAAGAAGAAAGCACATAAATTATATATGCGAACCAAATCATTTTGGCGCTTTGCTAAAGATAAATCAAGGGGTGAATTTCCGAAAGAAATGTATCTAAATAATAAAATTAGTAATAATGGCTGTGATACTATAAATTTATTTGCTGATAATTTATCTACAGTTTATGTCAAGACTGATTGTAATGTACCTGTATTAAACTATGAGAAAACCATTAATGTAAATAATGTAAAAGTGACCTTGAGTGAAGTTTTTTCTAAAATTTATCAATTAACACATTAACCGCCAGGGCGGACACTTGTGTCCGCTGCGTGGTCGGCTCATCACGCCAGGGCGGACACCGGTGTCCGCCAGGTCACTGTCAAGTGTCTACTACGATAATGTATGCATAACTGAGCTTAGCAAGACGTTTGGCGCGCGATCCGCTTCGGCAAACAGACCTGTTACGACGTGGCCGCTGAGATATTTGTGTCCGCTGTGGCGTGGTAAAATCGGAAAAATTTTGTCCGCCCTGGCGTGATGCTAGGGAAAAATGCTTTTTTTAGGCATGGCGCCAGAGCGGACACCGGTGTCCGCTGAGTCGCTCTTATGGGTGGCGTGCTGGGAAGTTTTATGAAAATTGGCTTGGCGGTGAATGTGTTAAAAGATAGTTTCTCTTGTGGTCCAGATGGAGTTCCATCTTACTTTTTAAAGAGGTGTGTCTGTACTGTTAGTACTCCTATTTCTATTATTTATAATATTTCACTTGATTCAGGAGTATTTCCGGATTTTTGGAAATACAGTTTTATAAGACCAATTTATAAATCGGGATGTAATTGTGACATTAAAAATTACAGAGGAATATGTTTGCAATACAACATTCCAAAAATTTTCGATTCACTCATTACAGAATATTTGTCATGGGAATGTAAAGGGCTAATAATTGATCAAAAACATGGTTTTTCACAAGGAAAACCTACAGTAACTGCCTTGTTAAGTTATCAAAATGAAATATTGAGTACTTTTGAAGGGGGGTATCAAGTACATTCTGTCTATACTGACTTCTCAAAAGCATTCGATAGAGTTAACCATGAATTGTTGATCGCCAAGTTGAGCTCATATGGTATCACTGGTAAACTTTTAAATTGGCTATCTAGTTTTTTAATTGGTAGGTATCAGTGGGTCAAAATTGGGAATCACATTTCTTATTTGATTGAAGTATTGTCTGGTGTTCCTTAAGGATCCCATTGTGGTCCGCTTCTTTTTAATCTATTTGTAAATGACATTGCATGTTGTATAAAAAAGTCTCAGTTCCTACTATTTGCAGATGATTTAAAAATCTTTAAAATTGTTGAAAGTATATCTGATTGTTTTGATTTAGAGACTGATATTAACAACCTAGCATTGTGGTGTAATGTAAATTGTATAAATTTGAATTTAAGTAAATGTTTTTATATTAAGTTTAATAGGTGCCATACTATTATAGACTATACTTATTGTATCAATTCATTAGAGCTTGAAATGGTGACCCAAATAATGGACCTTGGCGTAATGTTTGATGAAAAACTTACTTTTTCAGAACACATTACAATGATATCATTAAAAGCCAGAAAGGGTTATATACAAAGAATCTCTAATGGTCTCTCAATAAATTATTTTAAAATTATTTACTGCACTCTTGTTCGTTCTAATATGGAATATGCAGCTGTTGTCTGGAACCCTTATTATTGCATTCACATTAATAGACTTGAAACGGTTCAACATAAGTTTCTGAGATGCCCAGCATATAAATTAGGAGTGCGTATAAATAATTACGATTATGATTATGCTAACCTATGTTCTAGATTAGATATCACAACTTTGCAGAACCGGAGAACTCAATTAGATCTATGCTTCCTATTCAAACTTTTGTCTGGGTCAATATATTCTCCTGATATTTTATTAAAAATTGGTCTTAAAATTAATAGTTCAACCAGAGCTAATGAAACTTTTTTTATTAGACACCATAGACAAAATTACGGCTTTTATAGTTCATCAATACGATTGGTTAGGAGTGCTAACAGTATAGTAATAGACTTGGATTTTTTGGTTCGTCCTATCCTTCATTTAAAAGAAGTATTGCTAACCACTTTCTTAATGACACTTGAAAGTACTGTTATTGTCTGCCTTGTTAATCAAATGTTTTAATCATGTTTTATCAAATGTTTTACATGATACAATTTTTGATGTTGTTTATTTTGTATTTGTGCATATAACATATATTTTTTATTGTAAAATGGGGTTTTCCCGTAAATAAATAAATTATTATATATAATTTCAACAGATAATTATATAAATATTTATTCGCAGCCAATACATAAAAGTATAGATGAATTTTAGAAAATGTATAGATGTTTTTAGAATGAATAGTTACATATTGGGCATTTTAATGCTTGTGTCAAAAACCTTGTTAGTTATATTATTAATGCTCTAAAAAATAGTAAAATAAATTAAGTGTAGTTTAAACAAAAATTAATTGGAGAATACTATCAATTTAAACAAACATAATAAATTTCCAGATAGATATTTGTTCCATTCATGAATTAAACATATGTATACTCATTCATAGCGAAAAAGTAAATAAAAATATACACCTTCTAGATATTTGTACAATTTACCGAGTAAAAAATATCAATGGATTTTGAGAAAAGTGACAATTTAAAGTTTTTGCGTTAAAAGCAAAAAACAACTACAAAATCTATAATACGTCAAATTAGTGTGGCGCAAACATGATTCGACTGACAGATAACTTCTAACCACACTTTTGATAATTACCATAATTACATCATTACTAATTTAGCGTATTTTTATGTGGAAAAGCGACATAAGTGAATTTTAAAGAAATGCCAAAAAATGGCGCCAGTGTCGTTTCCTCTATCGGTCGATTTATAACGACGCCTATCTAGAAAAAAAAAAACAGCACATCTCAAAAAGACTGAATTAAGCTCAAGAAAAGTGTAATATTTTTAATTGTGACGTTCAATTAGTATAGTTATTTTGTTCGAATATCAGTGTTCTTTAAATATTAGTGAAATTATCGAATAACTTAATGTTCACCTTTGAGTTGCGTTAACTTTCTCGAAATAATAGTTATTAATGTAACAGAAAGTAGTGCGTATTGCTAACTTTTGGAGTTGTGTCAGTTTCTCTTACATAAAATTTTTGTGGTTTGTGCAACAACAGAATCTTAAAAATAAGAACAAAGAAGGCTTATTAAGACTGATGGAGAAGATCATTTCAAAGTATTACAGAAAAATAAAAAAAATAAAGGAAGATTAAAAAATACTATCAAATACTGTTCCCAGCCGAGCAATAAATAAGATAAAATAATCATTACATTATCAAATTGTCAAATGGACCAAGACTATGAGTCTCATGTGCTAAAAAACAACAAAACATGGTCACTATCATCATTTTATATACTTTGACCAAAGTTTTTACATACCATACATGTATGTTTATACAAACATTTTTTAATTAAATAGCCACAAACATAATGTTTAAAATTTTGTTTTAAGTATATCACTATTTGTATAGTCAGTATCAGATAGAGGTTTTTTTAATATCGTGCAAGTTAAAAAAAATATTCTGCATCTAAGTTTTCAGTACCGGAGTGAAACAATTGAGGGGTTTGGAATTGAATAGGTATAAGTGCACTTTTTCATTTTAAGTTAGGTTAAGCATAAATTTGTAAATTTAAAGTATTCTTCTATTTGGGGAAGAATATATACGAGTGAATTTATAACAAATAAAGCCATCTATCAACATGTAAAAAAAGCACAAATTTAAAGCTCTCAATATTCTCGACACATAATATCGTGAAGTATTCCCAGTGGCGCGCATATAAATACAAATTTTATACTAGAAAATCCTTTAAACGAGTCTACTTTAGCGCATCCTGGATCCAGTTGAAAAAAAAGAGCCAAATGATTACAACTTCATTCGAAGAAAAAGAGCTAGATGATGTCGCTCTTGAATTTGTATAACAAAATTAATAAGACTATTTTTTTTTAATAAAAATAATCTACCTTTCTAAATATTTCTATTTTGTATCCGCCCAGATTAATAAATTAAGTTAAAATAAAAAGGGTATAAGGGCATTTTTTTCTAATATTTTTCAGTTTTTGACAGATATTTGACTAATTTCAAATATTTACATATAACACATATATTTCTAACATCTTTATCTTTCGCACTAACGAACAGAACTCGTGTAGTTGATCTTCGGGAATTTTAAAACAACACTTAACTTTAGACTTCAATATCTCAATAATTAAAAAACTGTACTCATAGCTTTTTAATTTCAAACCCCTCAATTATAGTTTTTTAAATGATCTTTTAAATTGGATTGCTGTGTGATTTTTACCCTTTGCTTTCTGTTGCCTAATGGATCTAAAAAAGTCCTCAAGGCAATCTTGATTTAAGCATCTGGTATGTACAAAGAGTAAATCATTACGTAAGTGTAGGGACTTCCATACATGTGTAAGTCCACTAAATGATATTTTAAAACATGTTATAGATTTATTTCCATTTGTATAATCTTCACTTTTTTTTTATAAGTTACTAAAACATTGGTCACACCCTATTAAAAAATAAATTTGGTAAGGTTCACCATTAAATGGTTTGTTAAATTATTTTGCCTTATAAGTGTGGGAAGAATTTATTATCCCTATGAATTCAGCCGTTCCATGGCCACTCCAAACCTCAAGTAAGACTTAAGTCTGTAGATACTGTATGACTACACACTTGTGTAGCATATTTACCCTTAATTTTTTCAAAATTATTTGAGTATAAGTGCGAATCCCTTAATTTAGAAGCTGCCTTTGCAGAGTATGTTTTTTCATGTTCATAGAAGTCTTTAATATATTTCCAGCAAATTTCTTGGCCATTTGGTTTAAAAAAATGATTTTTAAAGCTATTTCGTATTGATTTAATTAAATGAGGGAGTGAAACAAATTTTTTTTTTTTAAATAAATTTTAAAATTCGGAAACAAATCTAAAAATTCCCCTATGAATTATTAAGACCATCCCCGGACCCCAAATTTGAAAACAAATATTTGTAGATTTAAAAAAACCTGTCATTGGAGGGAATCGAACCCATATCATCACGTTTGCCGGACGTGTGCCCTTACTTATTTCAGATAATTCTGACCTTTCGGACTTCGATTTTGCGATCTACGAAACTTCACAATTTTCAAATTATCTTTTGTTCATTTATAAAAAAGTAAGAGTTGCAATGGTGCTAGCTTTTTTTAAGTTAATATTATTGGAGCCTAAATCTGATAGCAATACACACAAAATCAAACCAATTTCTTTTAGTATCGTAACCAAATCAAAAATAATTATTTGCATGGTTGTTAGTGGGACTGTTAGTATGAATCAAATTATTTTTTATAACACATCATATACCAAGAGGCACTTTCTACCGACTTAAATGTTTTTTTAGACCAGCATGTTGCATCCCAACATTTGTAGCCTTTTCAACAGCATAAAATAAATTACATTTTATATGAATTTCATCTACACACAGCATATGCCTTACACAGTAAGTTAAAATGAGACAAAAATATTCTGTATAAGAAATTCTGCGTCAATTGGAAATCCGTAGTAAACAAAAACAGTGTAAAATTCAAAAATGTTTAATAAACTCTTTGGTTTTTGGTTTATTTGTTGAATAAAATAAATCGAAATCACTCGAAAACAAGTAAAATTATTTAAATTCGAATATAATTTTTCATTTCTAATTAATATTTTGCTTTATATCGGAATTTTACAAGTATTTTATTTTCCCTGTATATCATCTATATTTAAAAAAAATTGATGGTTGATTCTAGATTTCCAAGTAATGAGGCAGAACTTTTTTCCCATTTTTATAGAACTTCTAGGGACACTCCATATAATAATACTCTCCCTAATTCACCACCTTACGAGTGAATTTTTAACCCCAAAAGCTGAGCTTGTCCGGGGAAAGGGACGGCTATTATTATTTGCGTGGCGCTCCGGGGCGACTTAAAGATGATTGCTGGTGCCATTTGACTTACAGGTGAGGAAAACCCCACCATCATTGAAACCGGTAACACATGGATGTCATATCAAAAGAAATTAAATTTCTGCTAATATGGCATCTTTAGGTATATAATACAACTAACTATACTTCAAAGAAATTGCAATTCCCTACAATCATCAAAAAACAATAACATTTAATTTCAAGGACGACAATGGATCTACTTTCAGCCAAATGGCGATTATGGTATGCGAGATGAACACTGCTTACTTTCCCCTTCCACTGTGAGTTAATCCTCTGTATTAGAGATGAGAAGCACATGCGGAAGCACATGCGCATGTTGTACAAAATGTAAGACACACTTTAAGGTACGGTGTACGTACCGTACAATTTTATTGTAGTGTAGTACAATCCACCATTACATGGACATTACACTTTGCATTTGTTGGAAGGATATTATAGGCAACTCACTGAACATATTACAGTACACTAACTGGAACTGTTGTTAATTCATAATTTAATACGAAAAAACGTGTATGAAAAAGGCTGAGCGCACCACTCCCCTCATTTATTGTAGAATGGACTCGTCCGGCTGACGAGCGCAAGACAAGGAAAGACGCTGCGAATATGTGTTGGAATGTTGGAATACGTGACGAGTAATAGAAGTTATGGATTTTTTAAATACGACACAGGACCGGTACGCAAAATATTATGTTTAAATTGAAGAATAGATTATGAAATTTAAACACATAGCGAAAGAAAAATATCAATACTGGTATTGATATAAAAGTATCAATACTGGTATCGTATCGATAGTATCGGAACACCCCTATCCAGAATTACATCTAATTTTAATTAAAAGCAAGGAAAATTGCAAAGTGGCTCTAAGTTAAAGCAGGGCCAATATATGAATAAATCACTAAATGTTTTTGTGATTTTACTTACCCATGAGAATGCAAGAACCCAATAAATTACGAAGGATTGTTCTCGCTCTCACGTTGCGCGTTCTCCGCCTCCATTTTTTGTCTGGCGGCCGCCGCGGCCGCAGATCGACTAGCACTAGAACGTAAATTTTTCTTCGCTATCACCGATTCGTGGTCGATGGGCACCTCTCCCGATTTACGTTTGCCCCTTGTTCGCTTCGCATTCTTCTTTGGGGGCGTTTCCGATTCCTCGGACGTTTCCGGTTTGGACTGTTCTTCATCTTTGTTGGGGGAGGGATTTTGAATCGTCTAAAAAACGTAATGGTTTAAAGAACACTATTTTATTTTTTAAAGCAAATTAAAATGAGATGATGCAAAAGAAAACTCAAAATATACACTTTTTTCAAGTACAACAAGTTTCGGTCAAATTAGGCCTGTAAGTACCTACAACTTTACAATGTTGAAAAAAAAAAAAAAAATACAAATAACAAAAGAAATGAAGTATTATAGGTAAATGTAGTAGAGACAATTATATCAAAATGAAATAACATGAAATCTAAAATGTTAATAGTAAAAGAAAAATTAATAAAATTATAATATTAATGTGTTTATTGTTTCCATGACAACATTATACATTACAAACAACTTATTAAAGAAAACAAAAGGTGAAGTTCACTTTCTAAGGTTAAAAAAGTAAAAAAGAAAAAACGGTACACTTCAAAATTAATTTAAAAGGTGTAGCAACTATTCTTAAAACCAAGGTAAAAGAACCTCCTTGAGACAGGAGTAACAATTTTTTAGTTTATCGAATTTAAAAGACAGGAGATCGATCTTTCGTCTTGATATTAGTGAGATCTATGAGTGGATAGATTGAAGAGTGGAGTTGGATGTCATTACAACTAAATGTAATGACTCATAGATCACACTAATAATGATTTAATGCTTTTAAAAATTTGATGAACATAAAATGATACTTTCGTCTCAAGAATTTTTTTACCTTATGTTTAAGGATGTCGACTTAACCTTTTAACTTATAAAGTTCTACATTAATCAATTTTTTTTACGTTTTGGTAACGTAATCACGTTATATGTAAACACATTCCTATTTTACATTTTGTATATACTTAATTTTTACTCGTTACATTAACTTTGTCATTACAACCAAATAATTATATTAACTTTGCTTCTGCTACTAACATTTTTAATCTGAATTATCTCTAGTTACTTATAACACTAATGTTTTTTGTTATTCGTAATTATTACTGTTCTTTCTTCAACATTGTAAAGTTGTTCTTTTCTGACAGAACTGTTAATGGTCAAATTTGACCGAAAATAGTTGCACTTGAAAAATGTTTTTAATGTATTGTGATTAAAACTTGAGTTTTCTTTTCTAAAAATGATATTATTTCAAAGGTAGAAATATATTGGTACAGTTAATTCATAAAAAAAGAGGTCATATTTACAAAAATTCCGAGTTTAAGATTTTTACACATTTGGTAAGCTTACATATTTTAATTTATTATGATACACTAATAGTCAATTTGCCACAAATTAGATCAAGTTCACTTCACATTCTAATACCAACTTGTACGCTTTCTTTATGAATACACTGTACTTCAAATGAATTAAGCTACATTTCATGATAATGAAGTGTATGAATTTATAGATTTCAACAGGTTGATGAAATGTAAAAAAAAAAAAACTTGAAAAAAGGTTCCTGGACATTAATATACATTTTCGCAAGATTTTTCCATAGCTACTGAATATTAAAATAAAATGTGCTTAAAATTTAGACAAAAATATCAGTCTTAACAGTATTCTTGAGATATCTGAACACAGTATGGTTTGGAGAAAAATATATTACAGAAAAAAATGAAATCAAGTAAGAATCTTTTGAGAAAAAATTAACTACTTTTAGGTATCTTTATGGATACAAGTGCTGCATTTGAATGTATTGATACTCTGCTATATGTGGGGACAGCTTTAAGTTTAATAAAAAGCTATTTAACAGATAAGTTACTAGTTATTTAGAGTGACAATAACGCAAAAACTATGCACATTGTAAGAATCGGTGCTGCGCTCTTTTCTTTCTATACTCGTAAAATCTCGTAAACTGTATGATTTGCAATGTCGGTTAAATGGAGAAAAAGTTTTATATTTTGACGGATAATTCAATTGTCCACAAAAGTTCTAGATTTTCTGGCTAGTTCTAGAGATAAAACCAAATTTTCGTTTTTTTAAGTATAGCATTGTTACATAAAAAAATTAACGAAGTTTTTGTCATAAACAAAATTTCCAATAACCTGCCACAACAAAATTTGTAAAACAACGTTTCATAATTCTAAGACCCACCTCCAACTCTATTTTTTTTTTATTTTTTGTATTTTATTTATATATTTACGTACATTTAGGTAACAATAAGTTGATAAAAATTACATTGGTATATTTTGAAAGTTGTGCTTAAATCTATTTACAAAGGAATCAAATATTAAAATATTAGCCAGAGAATTTGCCAGTCTAAGTATCCAATGAATACAACTGTTAAAAGTACTATTAAGTCTATAAAAAGTAATATAAAATAATTGTGATTGCCTGGTATTACGAGTAGAAACAAAAAGATTAATTTTCGATAGAATTTCAGGACAATCATATCTTCCATTAACAATATTAAAAAGTAAAATCAGGTCTCTATGGGTTTTCCTGGTTTCCAGAGACGGTATTTCTAAAAACTGCTCCATTGTAGCATAATCATAAAACGTTTGTAATTTAAAGGCTAAGGAAATTGTTCTGAACACGATCGATTTTTAATTTATATGTTACATGATGTGGGGACCATATTGAAGAGGTGACTCCTAACTAAAGTACAATAAAGAGTTTTAATAGCAGTTATATCAGTGAAGTCGCGGGTCGTTCTTTTAATAAATCCTAACATTTTCATAGATTTACTTGTAACTGAAGAGATGTGGTGGTTAAAGCTAAGGGTTGTGTCGAAAATAACTCCAAGATCTTTAATTTGTTGAACACTATCTTAAAGTTGGCCATTGATTATGTAGTCAAATATAGTGGGCTGTTGAGAACGATGAAACTGAATAATGTGACATTTTACCACATTTAAATCCATGCCATTGTATTTGCACCAATCGGAAAAATGATTAATATCATACTGTAAATCGATAGCATTTTTAAAATTGACGATTTGGAAAAATTTTAGGTCATCTGCAAAAAGTAAAAAATTACTGTGTCGAAAACAGGAAGTTACATCGTTGACAAACAAATTAAAAAGAAGGGGCCCCAAATGAGAACCTTGGGGAACTCCAGAAGTAACAGAGTAATGATGAGAATAGTAACGTTTTACTTTGACTATTTGAGTTCTATTAAGAAGATAGCTTTTAATCCATTGCAACAATATGCCACCTATACCAGATTTACTTAGTTTGTGAATTAATAATTGATGGTTCACTCTATCGAAAGCCTGGGAAAAGTCGGTGTATAGGGCATCTACCTGACACCCCATCTCCAGGGCTTCCGAAATAAAGTTAGCATAGGCAACCAAGTTCAATTCTGATGACTTGCATGCGCGAAAGCCAAATTGTTGCAGAGTTATAATACTAGCGCAGTTATAAGTTAAGTAGTCCGTTATGATGCTTTCAAAGAGCTTTGGGATTATGCTAAGTTTAGATATGGGGCGGTATTTTGTAATGTAATATTTTTTACCTGACTTGTATATTGGTGTCACATATGAGAGTTTCCAGTAATCTGAAAAATCTCCCGTATCCAATGATTTGTTAAAAATAAAAAACAGAGGACGAGACAATATAAAGCTGCAGTTTTTCAGGAGTGAGGGGGGAATCGCATCAAGACCCTGTCCCTTTCTTGTATCAAGTTTACCTAACTTCTCGTAAATAGTTGAAATTGGAAGATGATATGAGCATACATTAAGTTTCGATTCAATGTTTCATTCATACAGATCTATATTCTGATTATTGTAGACTGAAGAAAAATAGTCGGCAAATAAGTTAGCTATTTCCGAGCCCGAGGAAGTTTCAAATCCATCTGAATTCATTTTATGTGGAATAACAATATTCTCTTTTTTGCTGTTAACAAAATTCCAGAAGGCCTGAATAACACTCTTTGGACAAGAGTTTACAGCGAGCTCTTAGACTACTAAATAAGGCATAACTTTCAGGAGATTTCGTACTTTTAAAAATAATATGAGCAATCTTCTTATCATAAATCAACTTTCTAAGATGCGGTGGATACCAGCATGGAAATTTTTTTATTGATATTTTTTTAAGTGGAACAAATAATTCCAATGCTGAAATACAGTGCCTCATAGAAAGTATTTACCATATCAAAGAGTTCTTTATTACGATGGAGTGTGTCCCAGTCAAAGGCTTCAAAATACTGGCGTATGGCAGTAAAATCAGCATTACGAAAGTCGTAGTAATATTCTTCATCGTGCGTAGTGTCTTGTATTGAAGATTGGTTTCAAGCGGCGGGTGGTGAGCATCAGGTGGAATCAGAACATCGATAGCCTTGCAAAGTTCAAATTGGGAAAGAACAAGATCAAGAATAACTCCCCTTTCGTTAACAATTTTGTTTGATTGGAAGAGGTTTTGAGAAGCACAAAGGTTTGAAATAGTCTCTATAGCCTCAGTGTCTTCTTGTGATAAGAAATGAGATAAAGAAGCTGTGGAACAAAAGTCCTCAATATTCCATATAGCATTAGGAAGATTGTAATCTCAAAAAAGAAAAATTTTAGAGTCTGGGTGGTGATCTTTTCAACTTGAACATTGGGATGAGAAGTAGGAGGTAGATATATTGTACCCAATATAAATTTATTGTTTCCAATGGAGACAAATAATTGCTGGGTTAGGTGGAATAAGGCAGCTAGAAAACATTTTTTAAATACGGTCCGGTATTTTTAATCATTTTTGGGTCCGGTATTTTTAATAATTTTTGTATACCTTTTTGTATTGCTAAATACAACGATATGTAACACTTGACCATTTTACTACGTTTCTTATATGAAAATATCATCAGCTTTGTAGTCTTTTATAATACCGTTCTTTTCTTAAGTAAAACGATGAATAGTGTGAAAGATTACGTAAGTAATTAAAAGCATCACTTAAGATAGTTACTATGCACTCAGTTTAAAATTTCTGCAAATACAAGAGATTTTATGAGTATAATTTTAACTAGTGGCGGCTCTTGACCAAAATTTTGGGGGTTCATAGTAACAGAATATAGATATCAGTACACTGCCGTCCTATGAAAAAACCCCGTATCTCCAAAAATTGAAAGAAAAA